AAACCACATACTGTTCAGCGATCATGTTCTTTGAGACAGATTACCCTGTTTGTTTGCTGATAACAGAATCCCCTAGCACCAGGATCCTTGCTTGACCCCCTGCTCCCCTCTATACTGGAACAGTCACTCGCCAGGCAGCTAGTAAAAGCGATTTGGTTCATTTGTCATGTATTGGTGGTGGTGCACCAGATGCAAGCACACTTACTGCAGTGTGAGCCAACATTTTTGTGCAAATTTGAGGTAATTCGGTAGTGAGGTGTCGCTAGGGTTGCCACCTTTTCTTCAAGCAAAACCTGAACACTCCAGCGATGTGCGGCAACTTTTCTTTTGGAGAATATGCAGGAGAGAGCGAGGATAGACAGCCAGGGGAGAGAGAGGAGACAGCCAGGGGAAAGAGCGAGGGGTGACAGCCAGGGGAGAGAGCGAGGAGAGACAGCCAGGAGAGAGAAGAGACAGCCAGGGGAGAGAGTGAGAGGTGACAGCCAGGAGAGAGAGCGAGGAGAGACAGCCAGGAGAGAGAGCGAGGAGGGACTGCCAGGGGAGAGAGAGGAGAGACAGCCAGGAGAGAGAGGAGAGACAGCCAGGAGAGAGAGCGAGGAGAGACAGCCAGGAGAGAGAGCGAGGAAAGACAGCCAGGAGAGAGAGCGAGGTGAGACAGCCAGGAGTAGGAGCGACGGCCAGGGGAGAGAGAGGAGAGACAGCCAGGAGAGAGAGGAGAGACAGCCAGGAGAGAGAGCGAGGAGAGACAGCCAGGAGAGAGAGCGAGGAGGGACTGCCAGGGGAGAGAGAGGAGAGACAGCCAGGAGAGAGAGGAGAGACAGCCAGGAGAGAGAGCGAGGAGAGACAGCCAGGAGAGAGAGGAGAGACAGCCAGGAGAGAGTGAGGAGAGAGGTGAGACAGCCAAGAGAGAGAGTGAGGATAGACAGCTACGGGAGTGAGGAGAGATAGTGAGCAACACATCTGTCTGAAGCAGAACCCCTGTGCCTTTCAAGACTTATCTGCACCCTGTGCTTCAGACACCTCCTTGCCTCACGAGTTGCAGTGTCCTGTGCCTCCTCCATGCACTCAAGTTGGAACCAGACTTAGCCCCTTAATTAGTTTCGTTGCCCTTCTCTGGACTCTCTCTAGCTCAAGGACATCCTCTCTGTGGATTGGTGACCAAAACTGAACTGCATACTCACTGGCGGAACTACCAGGGTCGCAGTGCTCGCATATGCGACCGGCCCTGGTGTTCCGCCACTTTGGGGGGGCCTGGAAAGGCAGAAGAGGGCCCAGTGCCGACATTAAAGAAAAACCGTGCGTGTGGAGACAGGTCCGCTTCACTGAGATTCTGAGCAGCCAGTGACATTTCCCCATTACCCGGCTGAGAACGCTCAGAGTGAGGCGGGAGAAGGGTGTGGGCGTGGCGTGCCAGTGATGTGGTAGGAGTGAGATCTGCACGATGTACTGGGCGGAGCTTTAGGAGGTTGTGGGCGTGCAATAGGCTGCAGGCAATAGTAGTACCCACTTGCCTGCATGTTGGGAACTTTGAATGGGGAGAGCGGCATGGAGCAGAGGAGGATTCTTCTAAGGTCCTCTCAGACATCAAAAGAATCACACATCCTAAGGTTGGTGGCTGCACTGCTGAAGCAGGTATTTGTTATCTCCATCTTACAGTTATTGCATACAAAACGAGGGCTGATTTCCTGGTGACAACTGGGTCACCTTATTGTATTCCATATGTCTTGTATATGTTTTTCAGGGCTTCGGGGCTGTTCGCTCGCAGTGCAATCGGACACTTGGCAAAACATTGCCCGCGTTCCGGTCCACTGCAAATGCAAAAAAAAATGCAAAAAAATGCTGCATGCTCATTTGGCGCAAGTGCTCCATTGTTTGCTCCATACCACCAGACATTTATAGAAGCTGTTGTTTAGCACTTTGAACGTGATTTGTTGCGACTGGTGCAGCACCACATAGAACTTGCCTTATAGCATTGTTAATCTGGCACATGCAAAGTATACCAATATTTACACCACAAAGCTGACATATTTTCTTTTCATTCCCCCCCCATAGTCCACAGCTGCTTTGTAATGAGGGCTGCTGTTCGAAAAAAATTTCCATTAAAAATACCAAATAATCAATTTATTCATTTTCTAAATACCTCTCACCTGCTAAATAACCCCACACACTCAGCCCGTGTTCACACTTCAGCGTTATTTAGCTTGTTTCCCTTCACCTGACTGCACTCAGCATGCAGAATCCCATTCTTTCTATTTGTCTCTGTTCACACTTGTACAAAAGTAGATGAGTCTTTTTTTTAGCATAAGCGGGTGTTTTTTTTGGCCCCATAGACTTCAATGGTGTGCATGTAAACACACAACATGCATTTTTGCATGCTTTTTTTTTGTGGCCCCAGAACTGCTTTTCATTGGTCAAAACGAAAACGCCTGAAGCCTAAAGGGAGATTTCACCTTCTAGAAAGAAAAGAAATGCACACTTCTTCATAACAGAAACAATTTGCAATTATTATTTGTTAGCATTGGAGCCAGTAAAGCATTGCAACCATGATCAGTGGATAGCAAAATGCAGTGCTCTGGCTCCTGCAGACTCTTCCTCCCATCCATGTTGGACCGAGGTACGAACTTTCAGTAACATGGATGGAAGGAAGAATATATGGACTACAAATGGGATGATGTCTCCGCATTTGTATTGCATTGGGAACTAGTCCCTCTGCTGTGGTGGCTGATGAGAATAAATTAGGACCATAACAAATATGTAGGTCCTAACATGGGATTATGACAGTGCATATGACTAAATTATTATTAAACAGAGATTTAAAGATTTAATCAGATTAATACTTTGTTTTACATTACTGCCCTCTCTACTTATCTGTTCGTTTAAAAATTGCACGTAGCTCCTCGTGTTTGCATGACCTCCCGTTATTTCAACTCCCGTCAGAACTCTTGCCTCTTCGTCTTATAACAGAAAGATAAATTACGTTAACTCATTTGCAGTTAAGACATCAAAAAGCTAACCCCCCCCCCTTGTCACGAGTGCTTATTTTGTATATAACTGTTTTGATATCACCCGAGCCCTAGTGGCTGGGTTCTCCTTTTCATGTTGTTTTAGGCTAGGTTTATACCTAGGCGACACCTCACCGCGCGGCAATTGTGCACGATTCCTCGCGGATTGCCGAGCGGTCAGGAGTCGCCAAGGTGTGAACCGATCGCGCTGTGGGTGCCATTATTTTCTAAGCCGGGCCGCGCGATAATCGCTGCCTGCATTGTACAGGACCGCACAATCCCAGGACGCACATCCCAGGTGTCGTGCGGTGTAGTGCTTGTGTGAACCTAGCATTAGTGTTTGATGTTTTAGTGATTGGATTTACATTGTGAGCCTGAGCTGTAATGGCTGGGTTCATTTATTGGTTTATTATTATTCTATGAATTACTTTGTTTGATAAACATTTGAATAAGTTATTAATAAAAGGCCATGGCCAGTTTATTCCATTTATGATTTGTAAATTGTATTTATTTGAATAAATTAATTTCTTGTTGTATTATCTACTGTCTACAATCCCATTGAAGTTTCTCCATTCACAGCAGGGGCGTAACTAGAAATCACAGGGCCTCATAACAAAATTTTGTGTGCCCCCCCACACCAAAAAAAGGACCTACCACCAGAACACGTTCCCGCTCACTGCTGCAGAGCCATAGACCCCGCATAGCCCACAAGGGGCCCTGCGGAGCCCACCAGACACCCTGCAGAGCCCACCTGAGACCCGCACAGCCTCACTGAGATCCTGCACAGCCCATTTGAGACCCTAAACATAACAGAGACCCCGCACAGCCCACCTGACACCTTGCAGAGCCCCCTCGAGACCCCACACATACCAGAGACCCCCCACAGCCCACTTGAGACCCCGCACATACCACAGCCCACCTGACACCCTGCAGAGCCCACTGGAAACCCCGCACAGCCCACCTGAGAGTGACCCTGCAGAGCCCACCATAGATTTTCTATGGTGGGCTCTGCAGAGTCTCAGGTGGGCTGGATGGGGTCCCTTTCCCTGTACACCTCTTACCTTTCAGCCCCGATCCGCTTGCTGTTGGGCCTTGGCCACGCCCCGGCCTCCCCCACCATTGCCGGCGGGCCCTGACCTACTTTGGCACCTCCACCAGCGCCACTGCCGTGCCAGGCTGCGCCTCCTCTACCCCAGCTGCTGGCCGTCACTGACTCAGCAGCGGCTATGAGGAACGCGCTGCTGCACAGATCGCCGACAGGTTGTCAGTTCCTCCTCACAGCCGCCAGTGACTGTCTTGGAGCGTGCGATGCCATAGCGATCCAGCTGTCCTGCATGGCATCAGGGAGGCCCCTGTGTTCCTGGTCTTGGCTGGGCCCCCATGTGCCCCAGGTCCTATAGTAGTAGCCTGGGTCGCTATGGCAATAGTTCCGCCACTGATTCACAGATCATGTCAAAGGACTTGTGAATGGACGACGCAGCTGTGTGGGCACAGCCACGTCAAATTAAGAAATCCACACCAGCCTACGGCTAGAAGAATCCGGCGATTCAGATACATGGTGTGGCTACAGGAGGGCAGAGAATTGTGATCTGACCATGTTTCACCCTAAATTTATTGGCCTAACATAGAACATGGTCAGAAAAGTAAACAACATGTGCAAAAACGCTTGCAAGATGCTTTAAAACGCTCATATACACGCAAGAAATGCTGAGTGTGAATGCAGCCTCAATGTATGTGTACAAGCTGTATAGGTCATTCACAACATAACCAGGTTACCATGGCATGTTACAAATCAGGTAACCGCCACAGCTATACCGCCTATTTCTCGTATCCTCTCTCCGTGATTGGCTGAAGAGGAGTGATCAGGCATGTGCAGGGCGGGCTAAAGGAGCTGACAAGTGACGATTGGTTAGCTATAACGTACATCAGCAAAAGGAGAGTGTTATTGTCCAATAGAAGAGAGTGTAGGTGTGGCCCCGTTTTGTATTTGCCAATAATGACTTCCTGCTTTGTAAGGCTGTATTGTGACAGAGTTGTAGTGTGCTCGGTGCTGTCAGTGAAAGTCCTCGTGTGATACAATTCATATTGGTGAAGGTAATTCTGTACGTTCCATACATTGTATGCCTTCATGATAGGGCCGATGATTGTTATAAATCGTGACTGTGTTTTGCAGATGAGCCGATGGGATCCTGCAGTGGTGGTACCTGTGTGCGGGACATGTATACTGGTGTCCTCTGTGGCGCTGGAGATGCTTTATGTCATCCTATCTAACCCAAGCAGTGCACAGATCCCTCTGCTACTGCTCTCATCCTACCTCCTGTTCAATGTGGTGGGGAACATGGTGAAGTTTGTGTGGAGTAACTCTACTATCGCAGGTGTCTTCCTGGAACATGACAATGTGGGCCAAGGATGGGTGTGAGTATCATATGTGCTGTTTTCTGTCAGATATTTGTAGTATGGCTGCCACATGCTGAATTCATTGCACAGCCCACTCCTTTTCAATACTAGCTGATAGCTGCACAACATCCGTTTCGCCTGACTTGATCGCGCCAGATCCGGTGCAATCTGATGTAAACAGATACCCCATAGACCAACATGGGGTCTGGCAGTTTTAGTTCTTTCCTCCATTGCAAGATGGAAGAAAAAACTGCATGGACACGAGTGTCACTACGGTGACATCATACTGCTCTGATCAGCAGCAGATCTGTGCACAATTCCACTCCTGATCAGCCTGTGGGAGAGGGGCCTTACAAGTGTACATGGACCCTACTAGCTGCTGCCCAGGGCTGACATGTCAATATTAACAATGTGCAGCCAACACTGCTGCTGATGACACTTGATGTTGACCAGAGATGAGACTGGGCTTGGTGTAAACCAAGTTCACCAGAGTTTGTCCAACGTTCAAAACTGACCACTAGTGATGGGCTCGGGCGTGTTCACAAGCGCCTTGTGCCAAGCCCGCCAGGAAGCTGTCAGCGTGCAGGGCCAATCACAGGCACTGAGACATTTCCTGATCTCTGCAGCTGCGGACCGGGAACATGTCTCAGTGCCTGTGATTGGCCCTGCGCTCTGACGGCTTCCTGGCGGGCTCGGCACGAGGCGCTTGCGAACATGCCCGAGCCCATCACTATTGATAACCCCCCCCCACCCCCTTGCCCCAATCAATGGCAGCAGTTGTGGCGCGGGCATTCCCTTTATGAACCAAAGCTGTTGGGCCAAGAATTCGCCTCTCCATTGTGCCGTCGGCACTGTCAAATTTTTCACACCAAAGCCAGGCATATCACAAATTTTTACATGTCGGCGCTGCGCCGGCACATGAACAATTCATTCACATGTCAGCATCAAGTGTGTGTAATCGGCAGCACAGGTGCTGGGTACACATTGTTGATATTGACATGTCAGCCGACAGCGTTTAATAGGGTCGGTGTATGCCCTTCAGTGTATGCTTGTCACTGTTTGCACAAACTTTACATGCATACAGACTACTTAAAAATAAGGATCTTGCTACCAGCAATGTCCTGCATTTTACCTTGTATCAATCAGTATGCTCGCAGATGAATGTGCTGGATTAAAGTGTATGTATAGCCAAAAGTTTGTTTTGGATAGTGCAGGGAAGGGTTAATTACCCCTGCCAGCATTATTTATTTTGATGTCTGTCTATCATTAGGTAAATTTTCTCTCACTTCCTATCCCAGATATGCAACAGAAAGTTAGAGGAAATCTCCCATACTGGGCTGGTAACAATGGTTACCAGTACAAACGGAAGGGTGAACCAGACCAATCAAAATTTGACAGTGGGTCTAACCCAGAACGTCCCTCTAGCTGTTGTGGAACTACAAATCTCTTGAGGCATTTAGGGGTGTGGAATTCTTATCGCCCGATGCCCGGGACATGCAGTTTCGGGTGCCGGGCGAGTAGTTTTTTTTCTACATTTAGCCCTGCTCTGCTTTGGGCAGGCAGCATGGCTAAATGTAGAGGGGAGCCATTTCGTACAGGTGATATTGATCGGCTGTACAGCCATCCAAGTTCATTTGTAATCAGCCTGATTCTCACTCCCCCTCTCCTCTCTTTCTCTGGCCGTGTCCCCAGCCGCTGCCTCTGTTAGCGCTCTCGGCTGCCTTTCTCTACACCCCTTTGTCTCCCTTTCTGCTGTGGTTTTTGGGGTCCCCTGCTCTTCTGGGGGACCTGAGACCACGGCAAATTAGATCAGATTAGGGAACAGCAGTGAACGCCCGTTCTGCTCCGTGAGAGAACTGACACAGGACGCTGCACCCTATCACAGGAGAACGAGCACAGTGCTGTGTACTTACTCCCGTATTGCAGGTGACAAGGTCAATAAAGAGAACCTGTCGCCTCCAAAGCAATTTAAGTGTGAAAAAAATAGTCAAAATAAATAACAACTAAAAATTTAAAAAACAACAAATAATAAAATATGGAAATTATTAGAGATGTAAAAAAATAAAAAGGCGATAAAGTAAAAATAATAAAATAAATGAAGATTATAAATAAAAATGTTTACAAAGTAAATAAAAATTAAAACCAACCCCACTGCCCCCGCCATCTGCATGCAAATAAACACATGCATAGGGCGTTGTGTGTGTGTGTGTGGGCGATCTGTGACCGCGCGGCAATCATGCGGATGGCCAGGCGGTCACAGAATCGCATACCACCGCCGATTGCGCTGGCAGTGCCATTATTTCAGAATGGCACCCCAGTCACGCCAGGCAGATTGCGTGGTTTCCCGCTGCAATACCCCCATAATCAGGGTTGAAAACTGCACGGTGCGTGTCACGAAAAAAGGTCCATGTATCTTTTTTCAGCGATTGCACACAGATGTAGCCCCATTGAAATGGGGCCGTGCAGCAAACGCTGTATGCAAACACACACGATCGCCCAAGTCTGCACCAGGCCTAAAGGGTAAATTCACTTTCCCAACTAATTTTGGAAAATAGAATTAGCCACACAAATCTGGCCCCCTCTCCCTCCCTGCTATGCGGTGAATGGTCCGTCCGCCAGTATGGGTCTACTATCTGTACCTGTGCCATGCATTCTAAATTTTGCTCACAAATTGCAAACACTCATTGGTCAGCGCGGTCACCTGACCACGCTGACCAATGAGAAGCACGACTTGGCACTGCCAAATACGGTTTTGGTTAAAAAAAAATTTGTATCAGGACAAGTATTGTCATGAAGGACAAGTAGATTGGGCCCCCGCTTTAGTCCTTGGACAAGTATTTTTTTTTAAATTTTCACACCCCTGGGCATTGCAAGATTCTCACAGCCACAGGCATGACTCAGAGACAGATGCATCACGCGATTTGTAGTTTATCTAAGTATATCTAAACGGGTGACAAATGCCTCCTAGTTGTGGCAGTTTCTCCTACAGCAGAACATATTTCAAGGCAGAGATTACAAGAAACCTATAGTGAAAGAAATGAGTAGATTTCTATTGCTAACCACATTCTAATTTTACCTGCTGCAAACTTGTTGCAGTTCAGTGACTTAGTATTAAAAGCAGAGGCTTTTAAAACTAGTATTAAAAATTAAAAGTTGCATTTTCAGTTGAATTTGGTGAAACCGCTTGAAAGATTCATTGTGTTGACCTATTTCAATTGCTTTTGTTTGATTTGTTCATTGCAAACAACTGAAAGTCTGTAAATTTTGCAAATTAACGTGGTTTGCAATGGGGTTTGAATAATTTTGAGTACAACCTACATAATACTGAAAATATTATTCCAGGGGAAGATTTTCAGGAATTACGAGAGATTGGGAGTAGTTGGCAGCTATCCTCTACTAACGGTAAAATATACCAATATTTTCTAGAGACAGTCATGGGTTAGAACATGACATTAGTGGGTGTAGGTCTGACAACCTGACTAGCAAATAGTTTTGGTAATCTGCAAACGAACACATTTTCAGACAGCAGAAAACCAGAGCAACCAAATAGATTTGCTCAGGTTACTGCAACTGGCTTAGTTAAAGGATAATATACCTACATAGTTACATAGTTAGTCAGGTTGAAAAAGACACAAGTCTACCGAGTTCAACCTATAAACCTACAAAATCCCTGCCTTTATAGCAGAGTAAAGGAAAGGAGTGTTTACTTTCCCACCAGGCTGGGAACCATTCACACCATAGCTAGCATGCGGAAAAAAGCCCACATGCAGGCATGTGTTTTTAAGTTGTGCTGTTCTGCTATGTGCGGTTAACTTATTGTATGTGCTATTATTGTATACGCTGCAGCACTAGGTAAAACATTACAGCACATTGTAATACACTGCACATTTTTCTAGCTCGCACCAACACAGCATTGTGTAAAAGTAAACAATATGAAATAAGTCTATTTGCCTTATCCTTATGTTGAAACTAGAGATGCACCAATACCGGTATTTCGGTATCTAGCACGAGTACCAATATTTTTTGGGGTACTCGCCAATACCGAATACTAATACCGGCATCCCGAGGTACCATGGGCCAGGCTTCCTAATTGCCTGGGAAGCCGGTGTACTATCCAAAGAACACCAGCTTTAGTCTCCCTCGTGACACTGCAAGGCAGCCTGGCTTACTGATTGGTCAGGAAGGCAAGCTGCCTTGTAGTGTTGTTAGGCAGCGTGAACCCAGCTTCCTAGCTAATCAGGGAGGTGGATCATGACGTGTCGCCCGGCTTCCTGATTAGTCAGGAAGCCAGGCTGCCTAGCGACAAATGAAGCCGTCTTTCTAGCCAATCAGGAGGAGGGTCATGACCCGCTGTCCGGCTTCCTGATTGGACCGGAAAGCCAGCTCCATGCTCCCTCGTGGCACTGCTGGTCAGAGTGAATCTCCCTCTGACTGGAAGTTCCATTATTGGAAAAATGGATTGTCCCCAAATTATAGAAATCCGTTATTCGGAGCTGGTTCAGTAAACAGGTAGAAAGATATATAATATTATCAAATTGAATATTTAATCGTAGAAAAACTTAAACAATACATCCACAACAAAACATTTAAAAACAATTAAAAAACTTCCCTTGGGTAAACAGTGGTTAAAGAATCATGAATGATCTGCAGGCCAACTAATGTGGCATGAAAGGTTAGAGCAGATACATACAATGTAATTCATGTACGGATACAGAGTATCCCAAGTTACTCACAGCTCATGTAGCTCGGGGAGAGACTGTCCTGCTCGAGTCCCACAGCGCTGAATGATTTAATTTGCTTCAATAAGCGTATCCAGTGGTAGTAGTTGGGATCCAGAGATAGGGATATGTGAACAGGGCTAAAAAATGTAAGCGCCCTTCCCTTTTCCCCTGCTTGGGACTCTATCTAGCCCTCGGGCTTGAATTTCAAATTTGAGAGCTATCCCAAAAGCACTTCCATATATGTGTGTGCGGCCGCACAGTGAACAAGGCGGAAAGGTAGATGCAGGTGCAGGAGTCTCGACGGTGGGAAGTTTTCCAGGTGCCGTATTGGATCCACAGGCTGTGTAAATAGCGCAAACTGTCGTCCGATCGTTTTTTCTCTCAATCTCTGCTGGATTGATGTAACATCCGATGCAGCTAGACTCAGACCAACATCCGAACCGGCTGCGCTCCGTCTCCGCACTTCGAAGCCCAGCTACACAATGCTACTGCCGAGACTAATGTGCGGGATGAGCTTTGGTGAGTGTCCAGGGAAGTTGTTAGCACACGTGATTCTTTAACCACTGTTTACCCAAGGGAAGTTTTTTAATTGTATTTAAATGTTTTGTTGTGGATGTATTGTTTAAGTTTTTCTACGATTTAAATATTCAATTTGATAATATTATATATCTTTCTACCTGTTTACTGAACCAGCTCCGAATAAGGGATTTCTATAATTTGGGGACAATCCATTTTTCGAATAGTTTTGCTGAAACCCTGGGGACTGGTATACTATATATTAATATTGTTCTGGCGTAACTCCATTATGTTCCCCTTTCTTTTTTGCACAAGTTCCACTATTGGGTTAAGTATCGAGGCATTTTGGGCAAGTACGAGTACCAGTATCGGTCCATCCCTAGTTGAAACTGTGTTGGGTAACAAAGCAGCCCAATGCTGTTGGTCTGAACTAGATCAAGAAAAGTGTTTATTAAAGTAATTATAGTTCCAAGTAGTTTGAACTCTGTTAAAAAAAAACTCTGACGTTTTTAAGAAATTGTTGCAAATCACCTATCACACTTTTGGACAGCTTGGTGTAAACATACACTACTTGTCAAAGGTTTTAGAACACCCCCATTTTTCCAGTTTTTATTGAAATGTATGCATTTCAAGTCCAATGAATAACCGGTAGGCTTCAAATCATGAAATAGCCAGCACAGTCTCCAGACTTAAACCCCATCGAGCTGGTTTGGGATGAACTGGACAGAAGAGTGAAAGCAAAGCAACCTAGAAGTGCAACACATTTGTGGGAACGTTAAAGAAAACTATTCCATGATTTCTTTTGGATGTCTAATTGTTTATTTGTTCTATGCTTTATTTTCAGAGTACATTGAGACATTAAACTGCTTAAATTTTAATAAAAACTGGAAAAATGGAGGTGTTCTAAAACTTTTGACTGGTATTGTAAATATGATGGATAGACGGACAGAGACAGTTAAATTAGGACTAGGAGGTGAGGGATTTTCACTCATCCTCATAGTTAGAGCTGATCATCTCCCTGCAGAGAGTGGTGACTGTCAGTCACAGCTCCCGGCAGGGTTTCCCCCCTCCCCTGTCCGATCCTCCAGTGGTGACTGGAGGAATGGACGGGGGAGGGGGCAGGCACAGCTGGCTCTGTCTCTAGATAGGCAGAGCCCGCTGTCAATCAGCTAGCTGGGTGGATCTCGACTGTATTGTCGGGATCCGTCCCGGCTTCGCAGCTCTCAGTATATAGCAAGCTGTAGCTCGCTATAAACTGAGCTTTGGGTCATGAGAGGACATTAGTATATGTCCTCCCGAGACCTTAAAGAGAACTATGGGATAAAAAGGTTACCCCATAGTTCTACCCCATAGGCAACGGAAAAAAGTTTTACAATAGTTTTCCTTTAAAAGTGAACTTAAATTTAATATATTAAAATATCATTTAAATATATTTCAAAATGGATAAAAAATACTTTGTGTGCAACAAATTCCTTTACAAACCTAGATACTATCTTGTATACATATCCTGTGCATAGAGCACAGCTGTGGAAGTGACCTAGCAGGCTCACCTACTACAGGCTGCCTGCAAAAAACTACAGTACCAGCTGCCCTGCACAAGGAAAGAGCAGCAGTGACGGGTCTAAATTACAGGAAATTCCCCACACAGATCTGGAAGAAATACATAAAGGGCACCAAGATTCAACTAAGAATACACATGGCACCTGTATTAAGATATTATGTGCTTGTCCCGGAGTTCAGCTTTAAAGGAAATTTGCACAGAGTAAGTGTGGAGGCCACCGTTGCTGATTTTCTCCTTCTGAAAATGCAGCACATTATATGTCACATTGTAGTACAATATAAGTCACTGTTTGCCAAATATGCAGGTTTGGAGTTCTGACTTTACTGCTCTACAAGCAAAGTACTGAAGCCAGAGACAGCCAGGCAACTGGCATTTTCAGAAGATCCGCAATAGCAGCCCCGATATTTCTTTCAGTGCTGGTTTCCGGCAATGGGACCAATTACAAAATTAGGCTTTTGAACTCTTTTATTGCACTTTTATGTGTGTAAATTCAGTTTTGGTATATTTGTATTTAACATTTTAAGGCAAATTCAACAGAGTTACAGGGCTGCATGTTCAGGTATATTTGTATATAGTCTTAAGCATAAGAAAATAATAGGACCAGGGTTCAATATAATGTTGAAATAAATCAAATTGGCACAAACAGTATTTACTTGTATAAATTCACAGTAATGATTTTGACTTGTTTATATGTAAAGGCATTCAAATTCAAAAGCTACTGTTAAACTGCATGATTTTGATTTTTTGTTCTCTTTTAAGATATTGCTATGCCTGCCAGACGCACATTCCCCCGAGATGCCATCACTGCTATACCTGCAATGTGTGTGTCCTTCGGCGTGATCACCACTGCACATTACTTGGAAAGTGTGTTGGCTTCTCCAACTACAGATATTTCCTATGTGCTCTGCTGCATGGGTGGTTGGCACTACTTCTTGTCACCATTCTTAATGCTGAAATATTTATAGATCTACTTCATGAGGGATTCGGCCTTCACAGCTTCTTTCTCCTATTTATGCCTTGGATGATGTTGATTTTAGGTAAATATTACATTTTTGTTTTCTGTCTACGATTCACTGTAACTCAAGAATAAATATTTTGGATGAAACTTGCACTGATAATATTAGAGCACAAAACACATAAGGATTTTTTCTGTTAAAACTTTTGTAAACAGAACACAACTTGCCATTAGATTGCTGCCATCTATTAATTTGGGTTTAAAGGGCCTTTCCCTACTAAACCTCTGAGTGTCTAGGTGACACCTAAAGTGATATTTAACCTTCGTTTTATTTTGGTGTCTTCTTTAAACTGCTCTTCTGTGTTCTCCAGCTTGTCCTCCAAACCGCTCTACCCGATGCAGGTGTATCCCTCAGTTAGCTAGCTGGCTGCCGAGGAGACACCCGTGTATGCTCACACCCGCCTATGCCCGCACCTAGCTGTGTGCATCCATAGACATACAAGGCGTGCGGCAAGCCATGCCCCTCCTCTCCTCTCAACAGATTGGCTGACAGCAAAAGGACCTTGGAAAGGTGCTGGGCATTTTTGCCTTAATGCAGAGAATGCATTAAGGTAAAAAAATTGCCCAGCCTTTAGTACCACTTTAAGGAATGTTTGTATTTTTCCTGGGTGATCTTGTAGCAGGTAGTAAGTAGGAACCAGACGTTGGGGCCTCTTTGGAGTTACTGATACAGAAATTGGGAGCTGAACCCCAACATTGATAATTATCCAGAATAGGTCTTAAGATGTTTATCACGTGGAGGCAGCTCTCTAATGTTAATTACGGGTGCGATAAATATGAGATTTTGTAACAAATAAAGTTTTTATATTTTTACAAGAAAAAGGTCTCGGTCTGTTAGTAACCATCTTTCAACAGTGTCCACTTCTCTGAGAACACTGCTACCATTTTTTTGTGCTCATTAACTCTGGTTACTTGACCTAGATGACCTATTTCAATTAATACAAAGGGATATACATAGTATATCGGAGCTCCAGGGTACCAAACACCTTTTTTCTCAGCTCTCTAATGTTCCATGACCAACAACTAGGTCCTTTAAGTAAAGGAGATGAGAGCACCATAAAGTTTCACAAATCCAGAAATAATTTATAAAGTAGCTTTCGCTTTGCCTGGGCACTTTACTAATTACTAAATTGTTTCTGTCTCTGATAAACTTTGTAGTGCTCTCATCTCATTTACTTAAAGATCCTGGAGGTTCTGGGCAGGGGTCAACTGTGGGAGCGCCTCAAAGTTTTCAATCTGACCAGCAAAGTACCAAATCTCCAGGTGCAGGTGAGTCCATAAATAGTCCATGGTTAGATTCTCATCTCCTTTAGTAAATTGGCCATAATAACTCTTGCACATCTCTGACACTTATTACAGGTAGGCCTATTCTGGATCTCTCACCTATATATGTCCCATAAATAGCTAGGCAACCAGCACTTTCAGGAGACCAGCAAAGGAAGCCCCCTACTTCTCTTACATGTGCTGCATTTTGCATATCAGCCACCAGAAGAAGCAGGCATGCATCTAGGAACAAAGTTCCTTGAATTATGTGGAAGATGCCTGGACCAAGCCATCGGGGAAGAGACAGGGCAGTGGTTTGTATGTGAGCCTGTTCAGCACTGTGGCCTTTCTCGTACTTCCACTGACCATTCAATCACTTCTCTGAGGCCTCATAATCTGCTTTGATTTGGAGCTATGCCCTGCTATAATCCAGTGCTGGCACCTCCATTGGCTGTTGAGGTTCTTGGATTACTGAACAGTAGGGAGTGGAGCACAACACTGGATAGGTGCAAAAATCAAAGCTTATATTTAGCATACACCTGGAATCAAATATTTGTATAATTCAGATGATCCCTGCACTTAGGAGATGCCTGCACTTAGGCTGGGTTCACACTTAGGCGTATTGAATATGCGCGTTGTCGCACGTTTTTACCGCGATTCGAGGTAAAAAAAACGCGCAAGAAAAACGCCCGTTTCCGAGGGCTACTTGGCTGTATCCCAATGAAAACGCGAGACCAAAATGCCCCAAAGAAGTACATGTACTTCTTTGGGCGTAAGCCGTTTTGTATCGCGTTCGTACGGGCGGAAATACGGCAAGGTGTGAACCAGACCCATTGAATACAATGGGATTTAGATGTTTGAGCGTTTTGTAGAGCGTTCTTCGAGCGTTGAACGCGCTACAAAACGTTCAGGTGTGAACCAGGCCTTAGCGTCTCTTGTTTTATGTTGGCAAGTCTGCTTTAAGGAGCTACAAGACAGTTTGGTGCCACATTTAAAGTGCATGTTAAAGCAAAAAAACTTTCTTTGCATATCTCCTTCAATTCATGCTCATTTTGTTTCCCTTTAACCACCTGCTGTCCGGCCGTTTTTTTATTAAACGGCCGGGCAGCGGCTTCTTGAATGCGGGTGGGCTTTTTCAAACATCCCATCCCGCGGCGCGCACAAGCGGGAAATCAGCCTGCAATGTAAACAGCTGCCAATGGCTGTTTACATACAAGCGTTCGGGCGTCTGTAGAGACGCCCGATCGCTTGTAATATGCATGCGGGTGTGCCCCCCCCCCCTACGCCGCAGCTGCTGCTTGCGATCACAAGCTCCGCTGTGTCCCGTGTGAGCCCGAGACCAGCACAGCAGCTCTGCGGCCGGAGATCAAACGGAGCTCAGTACACAAGCTCCGTTTGATCTCCTCTTCGGAATGCAGGCAGTGATGTGTATTGCATCACTTCCTGCATTCAGTGTCACTCTCCGGTACAGAAACCGGAGAGAAGCTGGTGAAGCAGGTGTTTTGCTTCATCAGCTTCTCTGGGGGTGCCTAGGTGACAGGGGTCTTAAAGACCCCTGATGACTTCATAAAGAGGACTTGTCACTAAAAATTAGCTATCACAAAGGGGGCTTGTTAGTCCCCTATGTGATAGCCATAAAGTTAAGTGAAAAAAAAATGTTTAAAAGAATTAGTTACAAAAGCCCCATTTCCAAACTGACCTGTGCCCAGTGTACAGTGCATCGGCTTTCTGCGTTACTCTACCCTCCACAGGCAGAGAGCATAGAAAGTTATCCAATCACAAGCTTTCTGGCAAAATCAGCAGGCATTTCTTGCACTTATTGAACAGTTATAACTGAGCCTTTGAATCAATAGTTTGAATTTAAACAACCATTCAACTAGTGCAGTCAATGAAAATTTAGAACTCCTGACCTACATACTTGTTCTGGATCAAAAATTATTAAAACCTTTAGATGAGCAAGACTTTTAACATTTTTTTAAAGGAGAGTTAAGCACTGAGAACCTCCATTTAAAAAAATATATTTCAAATGAATTTGTAGGCAAAGCAAGGACAAAATGTTTTATCTTGTATGGAATTGCCATTGCAGTTAATTCTTGTGTGATTTCTGTATTTCTGTTTTGCAACCAGACTTACAAGTTTGCTTTTTTAAGTGTTTATTGCCTATGGTGGTCAAAAACTTTTACTACCGCTTAATATTATACTGGTGTTATGCAGCATTTTCTAATGGCTCTTCTCTTTCACAGGTCAAGTCAAAGCATCAACCTTCTTATTTGCCTTTGTGGCCGATACTTGTATTGTGGGATTCCTATTCTGCTTTGCATTCCTCGCTTTTCATTTCATTCTTCTATACCGTGGAGCTACTACGAAAGATTGGTTTGGTGGTCATGCAGCAGATTATGATCATGGCTGGAAAAGAAATGCCAAGAACTACTTAGGAGAGAGATGGTATCTAGTTTGGTTATCTCCTTGGATACAATCAAGATTGCCTGGAGATGGTATACATTTTGAGCCTATGCATCTTTCTGCTACTGTGCCAACCAGGAAGTTTGCCCAGTAGTCTGTGCAAAGTATTGTGAACTTCCAGCTCTGCCATTGTTGGGTATGTGAATCATTCCGGTCCATTAAATTAAAATATACATTTTTACAGGAAATATAAAGATTTTTGGTTATATAAATGAAAAGAACTTAAAATACAAACCAGTTTGCTTTCGGAGATGAAGTCCAATACAGAGATGAATAATGAACATGCAACCAAAGAGCCATATGGCCACTTTTTAAAAAACATGATTCTGGAGGGACAAAGGACATTTAGTTGTAACCTTGGTAGATGAAGTTAAGCAAGTAGACACCCTAAGGTGTCTCACCCTGCCTTCATAGTGCTTTCTTGCCTCCCCATTGCACCGCTGGAGGTACTTGTACAAAACAGTTATTGGCTGTCTCCCTCCCAATGCAGTGCTAGGTGCCCAAGCAACCTTCTGCCCATCTTGAGCACTGTAGCATGTGGTGGGGAGTCCTTCCTAGTCCAAATACTGGCTTTTAGTGTGACTTTAATCTGAAAACAGCACCAGGTGATATATAGAACAAAATAAGTAATATGTTAACAGTGGGTGATAGATACAGTGTTGCAGTTGGATATTGTAAAGGTGGGTTCACAATGTTGCCCTTTGGTAACACACTTGTATTAACATGCGTGTTACTGCAATGCATTTTCGTTATCTGCATGTTATTCATTTAATTATGTCACCTCATCACACCTTACCAGCGCACCTGCATTTCAAAAAATAGTGCATGCAACAGTGCAGTTGCATCGGTGTGAACACGGCCAAATTACAATTTTCTACTGACTGGTATTTCCCTTGGAATATTAGAAATATTCGAAAACTAGCAAATGGAAAAAAAAAAATACAATTCTCTATTATCCTTTCAGGGAAACAGTTTGATGATAATTAAGCAACCTAGTGTGATACTGCCTCCTATAGATTACTGCCGCCAACAGACCTAATAGACACTAGACTAAAACCTAAAGACCAGCCCCTTAAGGCCCCAACTCTTTTTACCTGCTCAGTTTTGTTTAGTGTAGGAGAATGTATGATTCTTTCCTTTTCTGCTATATTTTGTGCTTGCATTGGAAGATTTCCTACTATCAATACCTACTGGTAGAGTCAGGACAGATATTGGAATTCCTGTAAGTCTCTTCAGTTAGCCAATATGTACAGGTTTTCCCAGTTCATTAAGTATACTGGTGTTCCCTTTGACAGCCCTTCAGTCGCCAATGACAACTTGTGTTCCACTTAGTACAGGACTTACTTTCAAGTAAGGCCAGTTTTTTTCTGGGGATTCCTTCTTGTCCCCGTCTTTGATGACTCGCTTCTTCTTAGTGGCTTAAGCAGGTCTATGGTTGTGTTTGGTGTTTTCTCCTTCAGGTACTGAGTACTGAGTTTGTTTGTTTTTTGTGTACTTTCTTTTACAGCTATAGCTAAGGTTGGGCTCTGAAACAGAAAGTATTTTCTAGGCATATCTTTGCATTTTTAATGCTAGCAATTAAGTTGGGGAAATCTTTATTATTCCTTGAGCACTGTGTGTGTGCTTACATTTCCTGGAAGTTGGGTAATGTGTGTCTGAAATACCGTTTGAAATTCTCCTCGCTTCTTCTTTCGGGAGGGTTTTTACCTGCTAATGCAATAGTGATCTGTGCTTAGTGTGCACATGCACTGGCTCTCTTCCTTACTCTACTTTTTTTTTTTTGCAATACTGTCTGTCTGAGCTCACAGTGATGGTACTGGAAACTACACAACAGCCTGCACTCTGAGGACACAGAGGATTAAATTATTATTATAATTCAGGATTTATATAGCCCCAACAGTTTGTGCAGAGCTTTACCACATATGTGGAGACAGTGCAATTACAATGCCATAAAAAATGAGAAGGATCCTGCTGGTGAGAGCTTACAATGTACAAGGAGGGGCAAGATATAGAAGGTAATAACTGTGAGGAATGAGCTGACCGAAGGAGTAGATGTACAGTCTTTAAAAGGAGGTGGAATAGGCTTTCCTGAAGAGGGTTGTTTTTCAGGGATAAGGCACAGCCTAGAAGTTTTACATTCTGTCTGCAGTGACAAGTGGTCACAGCCATTTTTACGCTACTCTCTGGTACATTCGGCACACCTGGATCATGAATATAAATGGGTAGGTGGGGTAGCTCTTTTCTTAAAGGTTTAACAGCCCTATCTGTTGCTAAACAGAACGGCAGGCACTCTACTACTACAGGTGACCAACCAACTCAGGACAAAATTTGCAAGGGCTTAAAACGCCTACCGCTGCCTTCCCCAGTGGATATCTGAGGCAGCAATGTCCAATCTTACTAATTGTGTTTGGAATCTTCCAGAGGATTTGTTGTCAGTTGAGGAGGAGGAGACTGTCATGGAACCCACCGTCCTCTGGGGGCCAGCCTGCTTCCCAGCGACTATGGAACTAGAAATATGGAGACCCCCCCCCCTCCCACTTCGGACCTCTTGGGGTTACATGGAACATTTTCTCCAAGAAGGAAGAAAGTTATATCATTGTTCCTGAGTACCTTGCTGGTCAGGGATTATCCAGAATACCTTGCTCATGGAACTAAGACTTGGACTGTTCTTGGGACCCCCTAGGGTTTGCTGTGTATTGGTACCCCTTGGAACTATTATCCCAGATTAGCGATGCACTGATACTCGTATCAGTGCCGATACCAAGTATTTGGGTGAGTACTCATACTCACCCAAATACTCCAGACGCTTACTCTGATACCGGAACTTCTGGTATCAGGAAGCCAGGTGGCGAGTCATTACTCGCTGCCGGCTTCCTGATTGGCCGGGAAGCCGGCACCATGTTCCCTCGTCACCAGGGAGCATTGAGCCGGCCTCCTGGCCAATCAGGAAGTGTGGGGGGGGGGAGGATTGGTAAAATTACTCGCTTGATTACGAGAGCATGAAGCTGGCTTTCCGACCAATCAGGAAGCCGGGTGGCGAGTCATTACCTGCCCCCCAGCCTCCTGATTAGCCAGTAAGCCGTCTCCATGCTTCATCACCTGGTGACGAGGGAACATGGTGCCGGCTTCCCGGCTAATCAGGAAGCCGGGCAGTGTATAATGGCTTCCTTAATGAGACTTTTGGTATTGGAGAGTACTGGAAGAAAATATCGGTATCGGTGCATCTCTCTCCCAGATGTATGTGTGGGGTGGATATGCCGCATCTTTCCCCTGGTATTATGTTAAAGTCACCCTGTGTCCATTATAGGTACAGGGTATGAATCAAGCAGCACTGTAGGGGTTAACCTTGGACTCAGACTTCCATTGAACTTTTTCCAGTCTGTCCATTTGTTTCATGATGTTAATTATGGGATTAACTTAACTCTGACACTAAGTATAGCTGAGTAAATTAACATTTGATAGACACTCAGGAGATAGTTAATGCCATTTCTTTGATTTAAGGCACTGGGGAGGGGATGTTTTGATTGTATTACGTTTTTAGACCACTAGGACTGTATAAATACTGTGCTGGTTTTCAATAAAGTGAGTTCCTGTTTTTACTCCCAAATCAGTGTTGTCTGATTCTTGGGGTAAGCATTTGCTATATTCACTTGCTTCTGGTTCCAGCACCCAGGGAACAGGCTTCTGACACGGGTACCAGGGAGTCCGTCACAGTGACTCCACCAGCTAAATTATAGTCCGCAGTTGTTTCACCAAAGCCGAAGGAAACAGTTTTCTTTTTTTAGGAGACTGTGCATTACACTTTAAAATGAGATAATTCCACTGTTACCTCCCCTACAGTGGTGTCTGAGCTCGTTTTTTACAGACCTAAATATTCCATACCCCTAAATGGTTCCTGGTGTTCTATCCCATTGCAGAGGATTTTGTCACAAAATCAATTATACAGACTACAGTCGACCTACCAAGTGTCATGCTTTAACAAATCTCTGACCATTCCTATAGCTTATTCTCTGTCATTGAAAGGGCCCTACTGATAAAGAGATTGGAAGCATTTTCTCAATCCATCTACTCTTTATTGGGACCTGCTATCAACCCATTTGCCCTTATTTCTCAGACTTTAGATGACTGAACTAAATTGCTAAGTAGGTATTTAATTGATGTTTGTCAATTTATTTTGATTGCCTTGAACAGATGAACAACATGCTGAACTTTGTGTGACACAGTGCTGGATGTAGCCATGATGACTCTGGTATCCCTTTCTTATGTCCAGATCTACAGGGGGCTAGTCTGGCAATGCAACAGTGTAAGCAGGCATAATAATAACTAGAGGTGCACCAAAATTAAAATTTTAAAAACAACCACAATGAAAAAAAATGCCGGCCCGAAAATGTTGTTTTCAAACTTTTTCACATTTTTAAGTTTGCTAGAGAGAATTTGGATGATCCAGAAGAGGATTGGGAGAATGTCATATGGTCAGATGAAACCAAAATAGAACTATTTGGTAGAAACACAACTCGTCGTGTTTGGAGGCGAGAGAATGCTGAGTTGCATCTAAAGAACAATATACATACTGTGAAGCATGGCGGTGGCAACATCATGCTTTGGATTTCAAAGTTTTTATTGGTTTTCCATAAGGTATAGCAAGTTATAAAGCAGATTTGTTACAAATTTTCAACAAAAAAAGAAGAAAAAACTGTAAATTCAACATTTTCAAAACAACCTTAATTCCCCGCATTCTCCCACCAACATCATGCTTTGGGGCTGTTTCTCTGCAAAGGGACCAGGACGACTGATACGTGTACAGGACAGAATGAATGGGGCCATGTTTTGTGAGATTTTGAGTGCAAACCTTCCATCCAGAGCATGAAATTGTCCAAAATGTCTTGGTATGCTGATGCTTAAGAGTTCCCTTCTCACTGGAACTAAGGGGCCAAGCCAAACCCCAGAAAAACCATAATCCCCCCTCCACCAAACTTTACACTTGGAACAATGCAGTCAGCCAAGTACCGTTCTCCTGGCAACCGCCAAACCCTGACACGTCCATCGGATTGCCAGACAGAGAAGCGTGATTGGTCACTCCAGAGAACACGCCTCCGCTTCTCTAGAGTCCAGTGGCGGCG